TATATATATATAAACTGTTCTCATATATTCATAACAGAAAACCAATCCTCAAAAGTAACTTCATCAAACCAGCCAGATTGGGTTCTATTAAGGCAAGAATTTTTAGTCCATGTTTTATCCATAAATAGTATAAATGTGTACTTTTAAAAACTGAATAGCGTGGAAGAATTTCTCCTACACCATTTCCACAAAACATTACAGAGAAACAAGCCTTACTGGTATTCATTATCCTCTCAGGGTACTTGGTTCCACATTTCATAACAACTTTTTTATTTCCAGAGTCATCTCACAAATTTGTTTTATCATAATTCCAAATGTTACAAAGTGGAATTTCTAGTCTAATATTGTCAACATAAATCTTTAATTGTTCTTTGTCTGCGCGTTTTCTTTTAATGTTTGATGCAATTCTATGGGTTAACTGTGAACGTTTCATAAAACTTGAGACCCTATCATCACCAGGAACATTGTTTTTAAATATTTTTACAGTACGATTTTGCAATTTTAAATAACCAGCTACTAACATTTTAACATCAAGTTTATGTAATGGAAATCCGCAATCACAAATAACCTTGATTCTAGATGAAAATAACTGCTCCTCATCATAAGCAAATATGGTTGGTGCACCAATGCATTTTTTATGCTTTGACTTCATTTTATTATATATAATGCTTCTTGGTATACTAAACTTTTTTCATTAACTGCACCTATACACTTTTTCAAAAGAATGGTTTTATAACAAGTGTTGTATGCACGTTTTCCAACACTATGCTTGTTATATTTACGAGGAATTATGCTTTAAACAAAAGTAAATATAAACAACACAAGCAAACTGCAATTTAGTAATTTATTAAACTATTATATAATTTTATTAAATTGCAATCAAACTTAAAACTAAGAGTCTATAAATTTTAATTTTGTTGCAAAGTTAATAAAATTATGATTTTATTAACTTTAGCAACAACAACGAATATTTTAACAACAACAACAACAAATAGTTTAACAAGAAAATATACTTTTTTTAAAGTCCTTAAATACGTTCGTGCTAAAAGCTGTTTATCAAAATTAATTATTTGGATAACATGCCTCAAAAAATATTATAGTTATAATAAATAACGATCTATTTTAAAATGAATATTATTTACTTGGCCAAAGTTACCCCAAAAGAGTATAAACCTACGGGATAACTTTGACCACCCTGTAAAAAAACCAGAATGTTGTTACTTAAGCCAAAAACTTTTTGCCTAATTTTATCTGAACATTTGTCTTTAAAACACAAGAAAAACTGAGTTGTTTGCTACCATTTTTATCTTCGCCCAGACAACATTTTGTTTTACAGTTTTTGATGGTGTTTTACCAACATGTAGTTTTCATTCTTTTTCACTTATAGTAAAAAGTATTTGCAACAAACTTCAGATCAAAATTTAAGCAAGAAAGATTGCATTTACAAATAAAACAAAAACAATAAAACGTTACTTAACTGTTTCAAAGTTACAAATGTTTAATTAAAATTTTTAAAAATGGCTAAAGTTACCCCGCTGGCCAAAGTTACCCCGGTTTACAATATCACTGTAAAAGCACTCGCTTTGTAAGCGAGAGGTTCGGAGTTCGACTCCCACCATTTCCCTGGAAGTACTGCGCTCAACTTAATTTCTCCGCGCTGCGGCCTTGCTTGTCAAGGTTCGTGTTTCGGAGTTAAAGAGTTGAGAGAGGGTTGTACCACGATTTACAACAACAACAACAACAAAAAATGAGTAGCCTCCTCGACTGTAGTGGCCTCCTCGGGCCTTGGGGAGGTGAATAATTAAAAAAAAAAAAAAAAAAAAAACTCAATTAAAGCTGATCTACTTTTCTTACCTAATCTTTTCTCTTTATTTTAGTTTTTCTATAAAAAGAAAAAAAAATGTTTAGCTATTAATAAGTTTTTAGACAGATGTCAAATTCATGATCAAAAATTTGTTTCTCGACACATTGGTTTTGTTCGCCAAGATTAGTGTTTCAGAGTAGAGAGAGGGTTGTAACCACAACCTAAGTAGCCTCCTCCACTGTAGTGACCATGGCCTTGGGGAGGTAAACTAGCATAAAATTAAAAACAAAATTTTTGAAAGGTCCAAAAAATCTTTCTGTGGAAACATTATATAGACCTTATGAGGTGTTTTTAAAATCTTTTAATTTTGTTTGAGCCAGGTTTTTACATTTTAACAAATAGATTTTGTAATTTTTGTATTCAAAATGGTTAACTTCCAAGAATGGTATAAACTCAAACCTTTTATATTTTCATAATAAAATCGAATGAGGATGGTTTACAAAAAATTATGACAAATGGAACTTGTGGGAAAAAATGCTCCAAAAATATTTCCCTCATAACCCTCTATCAAGGAAAAAACTATTTTGGTAAAAAAAACTGTGTTGTTTTACTAAAGTTCTTTATATGTTTAAATTTCGTCAACAAAACTGGTTTAGAAGCAGCATAGTTATAATATATAGATAGCCTGACCAGTTGCCGAATTTCTTTTATCAACCTATTTTATGCATTTTTTGTAATTTACTGATTGCCAATAACAATTTTGAAAGTATGTTAATGATTTTTAAGGTCTAAACTAGGTAATGAAAATAAAGTAACCATGGGATAGTTTAGATTTTGTTCTAATTTTATGTTTGAAAATGCCTTTTACATCATTGGTTTAATTAACAAAATGGTGTAAAACAAACAATTACTTTATTTAGATTTAATTATTAGAAAAAAAAATAATTTTTGTGAAATATTTTTTGAAGTTACCTTGCAGTAAAAATAGAAGAACAAACAAGACTTTTTGTGAAATATTTTTGAATTTACCTTCCAGTAAAAATTGTAACTAAATTTTATTAACAAAATGATATTTGTTATTTTATTTCCAATTTGCATGTATCTACAAAATTTGTGTTTGTAAAAAAAAATGTTAACTTGTCAGAAAAAAATTAATTTTTCTTTGACAAGTTAACATTTTTTTAACTATTTGGTTAGAAAATAACCTTTTAAAATTGTGAGACAGTCTAGAGATAAGTCACAAAGCACGATCTTGGTTTTGTGCAGAAATTAAACGACAATAAAAAAACTCTCTTGCTTTCTTTTGAAGTTGGTTGTTTGCAAGTTAGGGCATCTAGCAGCTTTTTTAAGTTATTTCTAATATTTCTAATATTCCATACATTTGAAATTCTTTTTTGAGATCTTTTTTAGAATCTTTAGTTGTAACTCACTTTTTAGGTTTATATGCTGCATTTATAGCTATCGCCAATCTATCTTAAATATTTGTAACTGTTAAAAAATCATTCTCTTTAAAGGCTTCACTCTTAATTCCAATATTTACATTTTCATCGAACAATCTAGAAAAACCAGAATCATTTTCTAAAAAAACAACGTGACGAACATTAGGATTTTCATTTCTTTGATAAATAACGTTCATTATATCCAAATGTATGCCATGGTTATAACATAATTGGTTTTTAAAACCAGACAAAGTCTCAAAAATTTGATTATTATTGCAGCCGCACCTGTGGTTGATGCAACAACATCTGAAAAAATCATTTTACTAGATCAATTGTTACTTCGACTGTACAACTTCCAAGAATTTTAAGCAAGACTAAATTAATTGATAGTTTATCTAAATTCAAATATCTTCAGTTTATCAAAATTCAAATATCTTCAGTTGCATAAACTAGTCCATTCATCAAACATAAGAATTTTTTTATGCGATTTTATTTAAACGATAAGTTCATTTTTGCTATAGTACAATATTCAAAAATTAGTTTTATGACATTGTTTTTATTTTTTGGAAGAAGATGTTATTTTCACTTGTGCTTCTTGAATGAACTCACTTTTGTATATTCCCTAGATTGAAAATCCATTATTGGCCACAAGTCTGAACACTACCTTTGCTTAAGACAGTTTCTCAGCAAAAACTGATGTGAAAGACTCGCTTTAACAGGGATTGTCTCACAGTTACATGGACTATCAATATGATTGTCATTTAAATTTCTTATCCTAAAATATAATTTAAGGTAAAATGTTTCAAATGTCTCAATAATCCATTTTGGAGAGAATTTACAAGTTAATAACTTTTCCATACATTTCAAACAATAGGCTTTTTTGCTACCTTTTTCTTTTGAAAAATATGCCTACACAGAAATAAAATTATAACAGAGTTTTTCAGCAATTCAAAGTTATATGTTAAAACAAAGATTTAAAAAAAAAATTAGTTTTTGAATGTCTAACAAACATTCAAAAATTTACTTGAAATTTTATTTTTAACAGCTGTTTTTTGTTTTGTTTTCTCTCTACCAGTTCAGAAAGAAGAGACTATTAATTTTTATTTTATTAAAAACAATATAAAAAAAGTGTAAGCAGGTTGCTTAAAATGCAACAGATTGAAAGATAATCTTCTTTATATTTTTACCATTTTAAAATATAAAAATTTTATATCTGCTTAGGATTATAACTTATCAAAAAAAAAACTCATTTTAAAAAAGTATCTTAAAAATTTCTTAATTTTTACTTTTGCAGAGTCTAAAACTGTTCCTTTCTGTTGAGTTAGGAGTTGAGAGCCTGGAACTGCTCGTTTCTGCTGAGTTAGGAGGCTGTGGGCACAAGCCAAGGCTTGTCTTAAACTTATTTTATCAAATATCAAAATTAGACATTTGATAAATTGACGCCAGCCGACGCACCTAATTTTTCAATATTGCAAAAAAGCTGCGTAAAATATTTTAAACTCACTGATATAATCAGTGAGTTTAAGAAAGACATTCTGTTATAATAAATTTTTATTTCTTTTGACATGAATATGATAATATCATTATTTATTAGCATCTGTCATTGTTGTCATTGTTTCTTTTTGTTCTTTTTGTTGTAATATAATTAGTATTAATACAAAATTCAAAAAAATAATTTGAAATCAGAAAAATTAAATTAATAAATTACTATCAATTTAAAAAAGTCAAGTAATTACATTTAAACTTTTTTTTTTTAGATGTAATCAAAAAACTAATGATGTATCAAAGAAATTCCACTGCACTCTCATCTCTTAATCTAAGCCTAGAAAAAGGAAAACAAATCACTAAAGATTGCTCAGTATTTGAAAATGCAGTTTATTCATGGTAATTATTGTTTCAAAAACAATTTTGTAATGACAGAGATAAAGTTCACCTATTGTTTAAACACTTAACTCATAGAACACTTAACTCATAAGAAAATTTTCTAAAGTTAAACTTGTTAATTCTAGTAAAATAAAATTAGGAACAATAAAGAAGGCAAATATGTCTTCTTTACCGTAATTCCTATATGTGTAGAATTAAAAGGGCACATTTTGAAACCGAGGTTTCAAAATGTGTCTTATGTCATGAAAAGTTTGGCAACCACAAGTTTAAAACTTTGTGAATATGACACTGATATTAATTTTTTTTTTGCTTATGTCAAGGCTTAAAATAAAGAACTTTTTATTACTGGTCTGTTCGTCTGTGACTTATTTTGTTTTGTTGGACATGACCAATGAAACTTAAAAAACAGTACCTGGTTCCCATTTTTACATTATTCTAAAAAACAATGTTTTGGTTTTTACATCAAAAATAGCTACTACACTGATTTATTTTTATTTTATGGTTGTTGCTTATATGTTTTTATGCCATTTTTTTATAAATTGTATTTAGAAAAACAAATCAGGAAAAATTTGAAAAAATGATTAAAAAAAATTATAACGTAAATTTAATAATTAGCTGTAAGCTAAAAATAAAAAGTTATAGCATAAATTTATAAATTAAGTATAAGCTAAAAAAAGTTAAAACCTAAATTTATACATTATAAATTTGAATATGTTAAAAACAATATATATTTTATCACTGAAAGTTTGATCCCAGAAAAATAAAACATTTATCTGGATAAAAAGTTAAATGTTGTTCAATATACCCTCCTCTGGAATCTACTACACTATTTAAACGCGCAGACATTTCATTCCAGCTCTGTCGCATTATGTCTTGAGAAAGATTCTTCCATATTTTTGTTATTTCTGCTTTGAGAGCTGCGCTATTTATTTAGTTAACGCAAGTACACAATTTTGCGCAAGTACTTGTGTAAGTTAGTTATCACAAAATTGATATTTAGTTAATTGCTTTTTTTTTAGTTTATTTTAATTGTATTTAAATATATTTAATGACATTTTGTATTTAATTTACTTTAATTTTTTCTTAATTTTTATATTTGTCAACTGGTTTATATTGAGAGCTGAGGGCTTTCTTCGACTCCATGAAGCCCAAAATGGCAGAGTCCATGGGGTTCATATCTGGGCTAGAAGGGGCCACATATCGGCAACCACAAGTGAGGAATATTCTCTTGGAGATACGGTTTTCTTTTCACCGTGAGCAGGTGCAGAATCTTGCATGAAGGTCTATAAATCATCACCAAACTTCTTCTTGGCCCAAGGCAATAAGTTAGCTTTTGTAAAGTAAACTGAAGTTGTTTGGTTCACCTTGGCACTTTCAGGAACAATGACAAGTGGAGTTTTGGAGCCATCTGAACAAATGCCACCTCATACCATCACTCTTATAGGGTGGTTTCTTCTTGGTATAGTCTGAATTTCCAATGGAACTTCTAGATTTCCCTTGAACTCTGTTGTTGTATCTGTTGGGCTTAGGCTTGATTGTGAAGATTTATCGTCACTGTAGATAACTGGAACACTTGGTTTTGAACCATTATCATAGAAGCTGCTTTGCTCTTTTTTTTTTGTTTACAGTTAATTTATAAATTTATGTTATAACTTTTTTTTTTAGCTTACAACTAATTTGTAAATTCATGTTATAAGTTGTTTTTTTTTAAATTTGCAGCTACAGGGGTGCAGAGCTTATCTCAGAAAAAAAAAAACAATTTTATTTTCGCGCTCAAAATGTCTACAAATTTAAGAAAAACAAATTTGGAGGTAAAATCAATGATGGCTTAACTGGTTAATGAAAAACATTGGCGGTTTATATAAATTTGTAAAAAAAAAATGGATCGAATTAATCGCCTGGAAAAAGAAAAAGTAAGAAAACTTGTTTTTCCACTCTGAAAGGCAGGGTAAAGAAAAGCAAAATTTAAAAACAGTGAAAAGACAGCTTCTTTATTCAAATGTTTACCGGCTCATTAAAGATCTAGAAAAAGGTGGAAATGGTAAACTGAAGTAGACAGGTCTGAGAAGATTTGTAAGAAATAAAAACCTTTGAAATTCTGTTGACTTCTGTCACTGCAACAAGTCATCTATGAAGTCTATGTATAAAGAGCTTTGTAAATAGGCAACTTTTGAGTGAGGCTACATAAAAGCAGTTCATGCTTTTGAAAATTATAATATTGGATTACTATAATTAATAGATTTGCTACAGTCTCTTGAGGTTTTTGCACTGTTATAAAGAGAAAACTGTAATTTCTTATGACATCTGTAAATAAGAGATTTAGAGAAAATTTAAGAGGTAGATTTAAAACTTTTGATTCAGTGCCATTTATTCTTGATGCTGTGTAAAGCAAGTTACCAATTAAAAGTTCTTGCAAAGTTTTGAATCAAACCCTTTTAAACAATTCAAATGGAATGAAAATTGGGAGGTAGTGTATTTATATAATACTAGCAGTAAGCAACCCGTAATATGTGTTGTTAGTAAATAAAATTAAAAAAAAAACGCGTATAGAAAAGCCTAGAAACTACTTTAAAATAGAAAAACCTAGAAAATGACGTAACTCAACTAATAATAATTCATAGTATCTGAATTATACTATGAATTATTATTAGTCGAGTTACCTCATAGTATATATATAAAGATATATATATATAAATACTGTATATAATATATATATATATATATATATATATATATATATATATATATATATATATATATATATATAATATACAAATAGTATTGTGTACTAAGGTAATCAATCTTATGTCATACTGAAATAGCCTGCTGTCGGGGGCTTCAGTACATACATCGACTGACAAATAGCCTGACTTGCAGTGGAGTGCTGCTACATAGCCTAAGGGTTTTGAGGTATGGCAGCAACCTTTTCATTCATTATTCTTCCTTTTCTTCTTTTTCTAAAAAGCTGTATGGATTAAGATAAGCAAAAAAAGTGAGCAAATGCTTATAAAAATACGTTATAGTAAGTGTATATATATATATGCATATATATATACAGTCCGCGCCAAACGAATAGCACATGCAATAGTTTGGTAATAAAAATAGGTGTATGAGCATTTTAAGTTCAACACAATAATACATATTTAACACAATTTAATACAAGAAATATAATGCAAAAAAAAGAAAATATTGTCTTTGTTTTTGTATAAAACATGTAAAAAACAAAAAATGAATAAAATGAAAAATACATCAAATGCACCAAACCAATAGCACACACGCCAAATCAGTGTCTTAAGTAAACATTTTTGTTCCATTCCACCTAAATGGCCATTTTCTGTTCCGTGACCTTACTGTATTGTTTTCCATTTGCATACACGTGACAAGACATTTAACAAGACAAATAACCCCAAATTTAACAAGACAATTAACCTCAAATGTTTTCAATTGGATTCAAGTCGGGGGAAATGGCTGGATGATCAAACAACTGGATGTCATGTTCTGTTACAAAGTCCATCATGGTCTTTGTATATGTATCGATGCATTATCTTGCATAAAGACAAACGTTTATCCATAGCCTTCAGCTGTTTGTTTCCCTTCTAAGAATTTTAATTCAGATAATCTAGCCTTGGAAAAAGCACTCCAAATCATGACACCACCACCACCATTTTGTCTGGACAAGAAAGTCTTTTCATAAGTCATGCCTATGATATTTATATCCATCTGGATCATAAAGATTAAATTTCATCTCATCAGACCAAATAATTGAGCCCCAATCAGGTGGACACAGGACAAATGTTTGTTTGCATACACCATACGTTTCTCCATGTGATGTTTCTGCAACAGAGGCGTTGACATATTTGCATACCTCAGATGTTTGGCTTCATGTAATGTTCTTTGTATCGTACGCAATGACAAATCAATATCCAGCTGGGCGTGTATCAATCAGACACTACAACCGGTATTTGAAGCCACTTGTAGTATGTGGCATTTGTCACGCCTGGTTAATTTCAAAACATTTTGGTTGGATTTTGTTTTCAAATATGTATCAGGATCCTTCAAAATCTTCTTGATCACCTTCTGACTTCGCTGTATATGTCTCAATATCTCAGACGTTGATACACTGGCAGCTTTTAATGCCTTGATCATAGCAACTTCTTCAGCATTTAACTTAGTTCCACATCCCATAATAGTCCTCTGTAACACATATATTAGTTCACATATGATGACCTGGTGTCCTTTTGGTCTTACTAAATATATGTATCACTTAAAAAGCGTTAGCAATTCATTTATTGCAGTCAAATGTTAAATGACTGATGTGTGCTATTCGTTTGTCACCAGAAAATATCATATGGTCTACTATATTTTGATGCTGGAAAACATTTGGTGCCAAAAACAATATGTTTCTTATTACTTCTCTTATTTTGACTATTTTTAAATATTTTAAAGTTTAAAACAGTATAAAATGAATAAAATATATTATATATACACACATATATATATATACACACATATATATATATATTTTTATTTATTTATTCTTTTTTCTTTTTTTTTAATTTATTTGAGTTTTCATGCTATATTTTTCTATACAATGTTCTTATATCCAAAAATTCTTATATTGTTGGCTTAGCATAGGGACAGCCACAAATAGTCATTAAGACTAATCTAAAGTAGCATCCGTTATTGACCAACATTTTTGCGTATCGAAGTACTACTCAAGCGCTGAGTTGGCGGTGGCGGGATTTGAACTCGTATTGTTCAACAGTCCGCGTTTTAATTTTTCCTTTGACACTCTAACCATCTGAGCTATCCCGCATATATATATATATATATATATATATATATATATATATATATATATATATATATATATATATATATATATATATATATATATATATGTGTGTATATATTTTTATTTTATTCATTTCAAAATTAGTTTATATTCCATATAAATATTAGTGTACATTAAATAACCCATGTCCTAAAATATTTTTAATGAAAAATACAAAAGCAATGTCTATATCTATGAACATATTGTATTGTAAATATAATATTTTTTTATTATTATCTTTGCTTCCAAACAACTTAAAAGATTGCAAATTATATGAATCAGGAAAGCAAGATGAAGGAAGCGAATTCCAAAGATCAGAAACAGATCTAAATTATTGCGATAACGATTTGCTTAAAAAAATTGATTTTTATCTGAATTAAAACACACCAGCCACTGTGAGCCCCATGCTGTAGTAAAAGTGAGATCCTTTTCTAGCTCAAATGCCCCCTCCAAGCAATCAGTGAGTGTTGGCTTCTTATCATGACAAGAATAAATGTTAGTATCATCAGCGAACAATGCCATCTTAGATGCGAGAATATCTGGAAGATTGTTAATATAAATTAAAAAGAGTTAATATAAATTAAAAAGGCAAAGAATTAAACCTTGAGGAACCCCTGAAGTAAAAGAAGAAGAAGAAGAGTGTTGTCCATCAAGGACAACTTTTATACTACGATTGGAAAGGAAAGATTCAATAATCTTAAAGATATTGCCGTAAGAAGAAAGCTTATGGAAAAGACCAGCATGCCAAACTTTATTGAAAGCCTTAACCACCTCTATCTAAAGTACGATAAAACCTATCGGTTATTAATGTTAGCAAATCAACTGTAGAACAATAAGATCAAAATCCATATTGATGATCAAAAAGTAAGTTATTAGATTCAAGATGAGAGATTAAGTGTTTGTTAATTAAAGATTCAAGAACCTTGCTTATGTTAGGAAGAAGATGCGTTTGGTAGTTGGTAGTTAGACGAATCAGATCACAAGCTGTAAAAGAGTTTATGTAGGAAATCACTTTATATATAGAAGCTGGAGTGATATGAATGTCAAGCAATGGATCAACCTGTTTGACGGCTAAATCAGGTAGAATGCAACAAGTGGAATCAAGATATGGTATTGATGAAAAGTTCTTAGCAAACAATTCAGCTTTTTCTTTAGGTGAGATGACAAAGACTGAACCAAACAAGAGAAGTGGATCAAAAAATTTGTCCTTATTATTGATACTGTTAAAGATTCTTCAGAAGTCACAAGAGCCTACTTTTTGTGATGAAATACGAGATTTCATGACCTAAGAACAGCTGGCTTTGGTGTTAGACAAACCATTTTAAAATGGCTTCTAGCAGTAACAAACAGATGTTTGTTTTCTGGAGAATTTTTTTGCTGATAGATAAGAAAGTAACGGTTTCGATTGGAAATTGCAGTAGCACAATGTGAAGAAAACCATGGTGAAAAGTGAGGCTTGACCCGGAATTGTTGAGAGGTAATAAATGATTCCATGCCAGCCTGAATCCACAAAGTTACATAAGAAGCACATTTATTAGCAGGAAGATGAAAGATTTCTACCTAAGGACCTTCACTAAGAAAATTACGGAAAGAGTCCCAGTCAGCTTTAAGATAGTTGTAAGAGGTACGATGATTGGGGATTCAGATGATGAAGAAAAATGAGATAATAGTTTTAGAGAGATCAAACTGTGATCAGAAGCACCTAAGGGTGAATGTGGAGAATCTGAGCACTGACTAGGATCAGAAATAAGACATAAGTCGAGTTGAGAAGGTAAATGATTCGGGTTGTCTGGAAAGCGAGTTAGGGATTGAGTAAGGCAAAAGTTGTGGGTTTTAACGCCTGCAGAGTCACTGACTCATGAGCCAAGCCATTCTTTGTGATAAACATTAAAGTCACCAGCAACAATGATATTGGCTAATGGATAAAGTGAGAGGGGTCCGTCAATTTGATCAGAAATAACATCAAAAAGAGCTGCACTCTTTTTGATGTCATCTTGAGATGAAGGAGAGTGATATAGAACAAAGAAAAAGATGGTAGAGTGAAGTGGTGCTAAATCTAAACCAATGAAGCAGAGCTGCATCAGTCTCTTTTAAGTTGACACAGGTAAGCTGCACAAAGCAGCTGGTCAAGCAATCTATGATGCAAATTTTTTAAAGAAATTTACAGAAGGTGATTTAACTGCTCGTGAAAGTGCGTTCCAGTGTTTTGTTACTCTAATTGTAAAAATTGTTCTCGTTTAATCCGACCTTTGATTAGTTGAGGCATAAGTCGCTGATTGTGTCCATGGAAATTGTAATTTGTTGTTGAATAGGGTTTGAGTGAAATGAAAGTTAACTTCATCAATCTGGTGAGTAAATTTGAACTGTTGGATTAGGTCACCTTTTTTCCTGCAATCCTCAAGTGATGATAGTTTCATCTTTTGAAATATCTTTTGTAGATGTTTTATTTCAGATATTGTTTTCGTTACACGCCTTTGGACTTTCTCTATCATTGCAATATCTTTTTTTAAGTGAGGAGACCAAACCTGTATTGTAAAATCTAGATGTAGACAAATGTATGCAGGGGGTTTGGTGCGGTGTCGAAAATTGTTTTAAAGCAATAAGCTTAAGTAGATTAATTGGTTTTCAGTCAAAAAATTTGTCACAACATTATCTAACAGCTTCATACTCTACGAAAATCAACTGAAATCAGTTTCAAGTGAGATCAAATGGCAAATTATTTCTATGTCTAAGTCAAAAATTCACAGCAACGGTCAAATAGGCCAAATACTTGGGGTTTTTGAATCTTGCGTACAAAAAACAGTCAAAACCTGGGAGCTTACCAAATACGTCGTTGACATGCCGCGTTCTGGTAGACCCTCGAAGCTCAGTGATCGGGTCAAAAGTAGCATATTCAGAATCTGCAGAGAGAATTTTAGGCACAGCTACAAAAAGCTAGCACAAATCATTTACGAGTCGAAAAATAATCATAACATAAGCAGAGAGCTTGTTAGGCGAACATTGCTGCAAAAAGGTATTGGAACGTATATTGCAGCAAGAAATCTTTTTTATCATGGACCGACGTAAACGGCAAATACGGTTAAAAGAAAGATTGAGCTAAACTGTTGAAGACTAGTTAAAATTCATTTGGAGTGATGAAGCTAATTTTTAAGTTGTAAACCTCAAGGGAACAACATATGTCAAAAGTTTTGCAACAGAGAAATATTCAAAACGGTTTTTGCAACCACGCGACAAGGCGGTGGAGTTTTGATTGGTATTTGGTGATGCTTTTCTCACAAAGGTATTGGTATGTGTGAACTGTATGAAGGCCGAATAAATCAGTGCACCTACAAAAACACATTGGAAACGTGTTTAATTCTATCAATCAGACAGTTGTATAGAAGCAAGCAATTCATCTTTCAACAAGACGGAACTCCAGCTCATACAGCTTAATCAATCAAAGAATATTTTTTGCAGAAAAAGATTAATGTGATCCTTTGGTGCCCTAGATCACCAGATCTCAACCCAATTGAAAATATTTGGTCTTGGATTGGCAATCAACTTATCACCAAATACAATCAACTGTGCACTTAAAGCAACTTTTAAATGAGTACTGTTTGAAGGTACCTTAAGAGATGTGCGTGAAATTAGTTGAATCGATGCAGAAGACAGACATTTTAAAAACAAAGGCGGACATTTTAAATATTAATTTTGCATTTTTTTCTCCGTTTTTTGTTTGTTTGTAAAATTTGTTTAAACTTTTGTGCTACTCATTTTTCACATGTGTATTGTTATTATTATTTTTTTTTTATTAAAGTCGACATCGTTTTTACTTTTTTTTTTATAAAGAAAAAACTATGTATATATATATATATATATATATATATATATATATAGTATATATAGTATATATATATATATATATGATATATATATACATATACATATATACATATATACATATACATTTACATATATATACTATATATATATATACATATATATATATATATATATATATATATATATAATATATAGATATATATATATATATATATATATATATATATATATATATTATATATATATATATATATATATATATAGATATATATATATATATTATAAATTAATATAAAATATTTTAAATGTGTATATAATATATATCTTAGTGACGGATCCAGGAATTTTTGGTGGAGGGGGTGGGGTTGGGAGGTGAAAATTTTGTGTCTCCTAAAAAAAAAAAAAAGGGGCCTCATTTTTTAAGACTTTTTAGAACTTTTCAGTTTCTGGTAGGGGGATGGGGGGGATGCATAACCCTATAGTATAATATAATATATATAGTATATATATATATCTATATAGATATATATATATATATATATATAGTATATATATATAGTATATTATATATATATATATATATATATATATATATTATATATCTATATATATATATATATGTGTATATATATACTATATATATATATAAATATATATATATATATATATATATCTAAATATAATCTATATATATATATATCATATATATATATATCTATATGTATCATATATATATATACTATATATATCTATATATATGTCGTGTGTATATATATATATGTGTGTATCATACTATATATCATATATATACTATAATATATATATATAATATATATATACTATCTATATATATATATACATATATGTACCATATATATAAGTACATTATATATATACATACATATATATATATATGTATATTTATATATATATACAATATCATATCTATATGTGTGTATGTATATATACTATATATAATATATATACTATCTTATCACTATATATATATGTGTGTGTGTGTGTGTGTGTATACTATATATACTATACTATATATATATACTATATATATATATATATATACATATAATTTATACAATAATTTATACATAATTTATATAAACATATTTTTTAAGGTGGTATCAACCTGGTCAAGAACTTGTTCCTTGGATTCGAGAAGACGGATTTAATTTAAATTATTACATCAGTAGATTTATTGAAAATGTTGCAAAGTGTAAAAATAATTTGTAGTGAATTGAAATTAAAAATGATATAATAAATCTATAAAGTGGTATTGTAAAATGAAATTATGTGCGTGGATTTAATGATAATAATGTATTAGTGGTGACACTAAGAACAACGTAGAGCTGTGTTATCATCATTTGATGTACTTGGCCCGCTTACTTTTAATCAATGATAAAATCCATTCTTTTCCAAAATTCAGCTCGGACTTCGACCTTACTTAGCTTAACAATATTTTTTTCGTCTTCAATCTAAGCCTGCCACTTCTTAAATTAATAAAATAAATGGAGCATACATTCTAAAAGCCTTATTCAAGCAAGTTGAAACGCCTGATATTGCTTTTTAGTATATATTTTTTTGAACTTCTTAATATAGATTGTTCATTTCCTTTGGAAATATGAATTTCTAAACCAAAGACCGAACAAAATGATAATATTTATTTGCTGTGGTAATAATATTTTGAATTTTTCCATCTTTTACAGAACGATGTACTTCAACTTCCTTCATTGTACCGTCCTCCAATAGAATAGATACAACGGATATTGTTCTACTTTTAATAGAAGCCATAATAAGTATTAAGCTCACTCGTATCGTCTGACTGTTGTTTTAAACAGATTGCCCTGTTGCACCATTAAAGCCAGCTTGATACATTAGAATTAGTCTAGTTTAATCTTTAAGCAAAAGCATATTTAAAACAACTCTGTAAGCTGAACATAATCTCGATGTAGTATGAAAAAAAAGATCATGTAATGATACCTCTGCAGAGTAACCTCTGACCTGAATGTTTTTAAGGGATGATGAATTAATGGGCATAGAGAGGTAGATTGATGAGCTTTTCTTTCTTAAATGCAAATAAGTTTCTAGTTTAGCATTTAAGACTAACGCTAATGATTGTTCTGACGTAAGTTATCCTGTCAATAATTCTTTGCTGCATATTTTTTTAACAATTTTTGCTTTTAACGGGTGACAACTGAAAAACGAGACTGGACTTAAAGACATAATTTTTTTAAGGTATAAAATAAAAAGAAAAAATATTTTATAAAGTATTTTTATTCTAATAAGTATTTTTATTTTAAATATTTTATGTATTTTTTATAGAAATATGAATAAAAAATAAATTCAAGACAAGAAGAGATTAGAAAACATGTGTATGAATTTTATTTAAATGACAGAAATGTTGGTAAAAAGTTCACTTATGAACACTTTAAAACTGAGAATATACCTAAAAGTAATATTCTACAAGATAATTAAACTTGCTGAAAGTGAATCTGGTTACGAAAGAGTTTAAGGAAGTGAATGAAAGGCTAAAAAAATGACCAAAACAAACATTAGAAGGCTCAAACTTATGTTTAACTCTTAAGTCGGACTTACAGGCAGGAAAAAAGTTCAACTGTACTCAGAAACACATTAGTAAAGCATTAAAAAAAAGCAAACATTTTTCCAGGAAAAAAACGACGATTCTATCACGTTCTGATCATCAAAAGCTGTTACTAAAACTAAGTGCAGTTGATTGTATTGGTAGTTCAAAATTCGTAAACCAATGATTGGTAAAGAGTTTTATTTCACGTTAAATCCAGTATCAATCGAAATAATATTTCTTATACCAGCAATGTAAAATCTACTCATCTACAGTTAAATACCAAACAAACAAAAGTTTAAAAAAAAAATTACTTCTATGGGTTGCTTTTTCTGAAAATGGCATTTTTCAGCCATATTTTGTGCCTAGTGGGTTTGCTGTAAATAAAGAAATATACCTAAACATATGCGTTAAGAAGAGACTTGTTCCGTTCATCATACGCATTCAGATGGTTCATATGTATTCTGGCCCGATTTTAAAATCATTTTACTAAACAGTAATCACATACCTAAACAAGAAAAACGTGAATTTTGTTAGTTTTGTGATTTTTGATCATCCTGCAAACTTGCCAGAATGTCGTCCTATTGAAAATTGGAATAAATTGAAATTTTGGAATATTTTAAAAAGCCTTGTCAACAAGAATAATTGGCATGCAGAAAATCTTCAAAAATTGTGCTCTAGAATTAAGTATTGCCTTAATAAAGATGATATTGAGCTCGAACGGAGTTTATCTCCCTCTATACCAGGCCTTATTGATAAAGTCAGAAAGCATGGTTTAATTAAAAATAACTAATTATATAGATAAAAAATAGAATAAAAAAATATAAAATATGTTTCCTTTTTGTTTTACCTTTAAAGAGAAATGTTTAATTCCAGTGTCATTTTTCAGTTGTCACCCGTTATAAATCTGAATATAAAACTGAATGGAGTCTACCCTAAAGTAACAATAATTTAATTATCATAATAACAATAAAAAAAAAATTGTATTCATTATAATAAACTTTATACATAGTACGGCAGTAAACAACTTTTGTTTAAATGGAGGGTTATATAAAGTTGTACAACGACCAACATATGAAAACATCAAAAAAAAAAAGATTTAAAAAAAAATTTTATGGCATGAAGTAAAGAAAGGTCTTCAAATATAACATTTTCAATTGTGTACGTGACGGGGAAATTTAAAGAAAATAAAAAACGGCAAATAAAGTTTGCTTTTATAAAACAAGTTTTATATAGAGTGAGACCTTTATAAAACATTATAGCAAACTCAAGATTTCCGAATTAGCAGTAGATGCAGAGCCAACAGGAGAATTATTAACAGTTGTGACAAGATCAGGAAGAGATACACTAGTGAAAGTATAATAAAAACTTTGCGAAGTTGAAGTTGAACTAATGAAGTAGTAGCTGTAGCTTGCGAGAGATTCTTGCAGAGGCAACGCTAAGAAAAGTTGATAAGACAGCAGTGTTTTCCCTCACAATCTTTCCTTTAGTTGTTTAAGACGTTTTTAATATATATCCCTAAAGTAAATCATAAAAAACACTTGTATGTTACGTTACTACAATTATAAGAAACTTATTTACAATTTAGTTTGAAATTAAATTTAACATAAATGTTAGGGGTCGCCCATAAATTACGTCACGCTCTAGGGGGAGTGGTTTTGTGACGACTTAAACGGAACTTGTTACGACTTATACGGAAAGTGTTACGATATCGTGACGAGGTAAGTGGATCAAAAACGATCGAAAATTGCGTGGCGTATTATATAATCGACCCCTTATGCAAACTGATATGTAAATTATTTAATAATATATTAAATATTCTTGATAACTGGTTTCAAGTTTTAAAGTAGCGATAGGTGAGTTTACAATTGTTTGTATATTGTTATCGATGGTTATTTAACAAAAATGACATTGAGCTTATTAGTGAATATTTAGTAAACTTGGCATCTATATGTAATATAGATTCATTGCCTAAATCTGATGAAACTTGGTTTGTCGGCACCTAGCTAAGAAATGTCTTTGCAAATGTTTTTCAAACATTAAAAGTCACAATTCTTTTTTTATACTGATTCTTCAGGATAAAGCGGCTTACAGTTTGCCAATTAAGACCATAACCCTTGAGGACTGAAAAAATGACAAAATGTCCAGTAAATTAGAGACTAGTAAACTAAAGAGTTCATTTGGCATAATAATTAAAATCTGGTTACACCGTCAGTGAGAGAAAATTGAATCTGAAGTTTTGGTAATATTTTCAAAAAAAATAGATGCTGGTTGGCTAAAATGATGTATTGATGCTTACCTATTTTTTGGTATAAATTTGGTATTGTTTGGTATAAAAATGATTTTAATGGGATTTTTTTTTGTATAAATTTGGTATTTTTTGGTATAAAAATGATATAAATGGCATTTTTTTTAGACTTTACATGTTATTAGTAAAAAAGAACTATTTTGGGGGTCAATATTTTTGATCCCAAAAATAGTTCTTTTTTTTTTTTTTTTTTTTTTTTACAAATATTTTTGTTCAAAGTATTTGTAAAAAAAAAAAAAATTACAAGCACAAAAAGTAATTAAAATTAAATAATTTAATTATCTTATTAGGCAAAATATACAATTACTACTTTATTAGGCCAAATATACAATTACGTATTTGTACATTTTAAGGGCACAACCCCATAAACAAAAAAATCTTTATTTTTGATAGTCAAATAATTTTTTCTATATATTAAGTAAATTCTAAATGAAACTAAGATTAAAAAAAAAAAAATGAAGGGTTGCCCTGAGGGCCAATTTTTACGGGGTAAAAAATATTTCAAAATGCAGAAGGTTACATAGAATAAAATTTTGCATTTAACTTGCTTGATGTTAGAGGTATGCAATGAACCTCAAAAACTTATAACTTACTTTTTCCTTGGGTCGTGCTTTATTTTCTTTAAAGGATGTAAAAAAAAACGCTTTTTTTAACCCTCCATAATGACCAAAAAATCGTTATATTTTATTTTTAACTTATATATTCATAGAATTTTGAGGTTCATTGCACAACTTGATGTATAATCAACAAACTGTCCAAATATGAAAAGTTTTGGTCGATCCGTTTCTGAAATATTCTTGCCACAGTAAAGTAAAGTTAGTATAATATTTATATTTCATAAAAACGTTTTAAAAAAAGATTTATAGAAAATCTATTTATAATAACGATTATATTTGTCTTAAACCTTTTTATCTATTAAATATTGTACTATAGACTATGATTAAACATTAGATGCAACTTTATTCATAAAAAACCAGTTTCATAAATTGATAACCCATCCCTGTTGTACGCATTCTACATTCCCTGTCATACGCATACCATTCAACTACAAATGTCTAAACCTTTTGTTTCAAATCTTTCTTTAAAGTTCAGAGCCATTTAAATCACAAATTGCATACTAAAATTTAAATTCAAAAACAAATCCTAACTTCTAATTTTGATTTAGCTTTATTAAATGTGCACATGTGCACCCACTCGACACAAACGAATGTTAAAAATCTCAGCTAACAATGTCATCTTAACTATTCGGTTCCCTGTATTGTTTTTTATAAAACAGTCAATAATAAATTCAACCTTTAAACCATTTAACTTCTAATAAGAAACTATTTGAAAAAACAAAAATCTAAGGTCAACTTTAAAATAGTGCTAAAAAAGGTGAAAAAAAGTACTCAAAAACGGTTACTATGTGCGTTGCTAAGGGAGTTAAAATAACAGTAATCTAAATAAATGAAATTTTG